TCCCTCCTGCTTTAACTAAGAAGTAATGTTGTACTACAGAAAATCCCATACATTGTTGTCTTTAGAGCATGTGCACTTTGGCATGTTTTCAGTGCATGTTGGCCAGCCACCATGAACATTTGCATTAGTCACCACTTCGTGGTATCTGAGATGTTGCCATCTCCCTGCCTCCCTGTGCTTAGAATAGGAAATTGTGGTAACTGTAGTATCTTTCTTGGCAGACGGTCTTTATTAAATGCCTCCGTCCCCCCTCCTGAAAGCCCGTGGAAGCTACTCAGATTATTTTTTTTTTTCTTTCTCAAGGGCAGTGCTGAAATGGCTGTTTCTCCATTGCCATGTCCCATAGAGAGCAGGTATCTGTAAAGATAATTGGTTGTGCTCACTGTTTTAAAGGTGGGAAGGAAAGGACACCCTTCAAACACCTTGGAAATGTGTGGTGGTTGGGGGTTTTGGTTTGACACAGAGATGGTTCTTGTTGATAGGGTTGCTGCATGCTTATTCTCTGTGGGTGCTCAGGGTGGATGAAGTTTTCTTGCATGTTCATATAACCTGGATGGACCCTGTATCTACAGTGACATAACTTGACCTTGACTGGTGAGGTTGATCTCTGCACTTACACTCGATGGTGTCTCAGTGGTGGCTGATCCATGACAGCTTCTGACAGTGGTAATGGCTTTGTGAAGTTCACAGGTTTGAAAAATGGAGATGATCAAACCTGTTTTCTGTGGCTAGATCTTCAGCATGATTATAAAGCCAAGCTGGTATGCAATCTGAGTTGAGTTCGTATTGTCAAATCCAGTGGTTTAAAGTGCTCTCTACTGGTATTAAAGTTGTCCTTCAGATACTTTGTGGTTTTCTGTGCTTTTTTGAAGTTATATGGTTTGGATTTAGGGCTTTTCCATGCAGATAACAGCCAGATAGTTTTCAAAAACTCTTGATTACAGAGATTAATTTTCCAGAATACTGGCAATGCATTGTCAAGCTGTGCTCCTCTGTTAAGCAGTGAGGAAAACAACAGACTGGACATGAAAAGCTTGTTTTTGCTTTTTTTTCGTCAGCCCTGTTGCCAGCACTGTAAGGCATGTGCACTCTCTATCTTAGCCTAATCCCTTGTAACAAGGAACAATTTACAAACAAGGAACAATACCAATTTCAGAGTGGTGCTGAGGCTTCTGTTATATGCTTGAAGCTCTCTCCAGTCTTCTAGTATGAGTTACAATAGAAATACATTGCTAAAAAAAGAAGCAACCTTTTGAAGAAAGCCATGTTGGAGTACGGTTTGCTAGATAAGCTTGCAGCCTCTGAAGGGCTTTGGCACAAAAAGAAGTCCTCTACTTTCGTCCATAGTGAGTTTGCAAAGTTTATTTCCCATATCAGAATGTAATCAGACTCAGTGAACTGCCTATATCGAAGCCAATTGATGTGTGGAAAAATTTCTATAGTTTTAATGGTTTTCAAAACAGATACATGAGTGTCCTAGTGATGCAGTCAGAAAATACTTTTACAGTTTGTTTCCAAAATATTTTTGTGTAAGCAAAGTTCAGAGTCAGGGGCATTTGAAGAATCTGTTCATTCTCAATGGTGTCTTCACCCAAGTCTCATTCCAGTTGCTTGTTAAACAAAACAAAACAAAAGGCCATTTAAAAAAAATAATATAAATATTTTTGTAAATGTTATATGAGGAACAGAGGATTCCTTGCCTTGTCAAATATTAAACTTCCCTGGCTTTATTTCTCCGTAGGCTATTTTTATGACTGTTCTTTCATCAGAGGTAAAGTCCTATATTTTTATGTTTCCGTCTTTGACCAAAAAAGCCCTATTTGAGCTAAGACGTATTGCATGAAGCAGTACTTTCAAACATGAGCTGGCAAGAGGATTGTGAGAATGGAGGTGCCAATACTTTCCTACACATCAAAAACATTAACAGCTCCTTCAAAAGAGGAATTTTTAGAATGTGATTTCATAATGTAGAGGTATTAGATCCATTTAAATAAAAGTTGAGCCCTAGCTGTAAGAAGCAGCAAGTCTTTTATTTCTGACAAAAGCTTTCAGTTACATAGATGCTTCTGCTTATCTGATCCTGTTGGGTGCAGGGCAACATATTCTATAAGGGACTAACATAAGATGCGTTAGCTATGATCTTTATCCCATCAAAAAATGCAATTAGTTTGAGAAGATGTGGTATTCTTCCTGTAGCCAAATGTCTCACTTCCTGCAGTGTGACCTGGTTCTCTGTCCTCCGAAGCATTTACAGACACAACAGTTGCGTTTCTAAATTATGTGTCCTGGTTTGGTCAGGAATTCACCTCTCCTCATAATTCCTGTACCAAGGTCCTGAGAGAGCTGTGACTCTTCAGCCTGGAGAAGTCTCCTTGGGGGAATCTTGTCAATATGTGCAAATACCTGATGGGAGGGAATGAAGATGAGGGAGCCAGGCTTTCCTCAGTAGTGCTTGCTTACAGGATAAGGGGCAATAGACATGAATTAGAAAGCAGGAAATTCAATCTGAAGGCAAGAAAACACTTTTTTTTTTTTTTTTTTTTAATTATTGTTGAGGGTGGCCAAACACTAGAACACGTTGACCAGAGAGGTAATAGAGTTTGGATCTCAGTCAAAATCTGACTGGACACAGTCCTGCACAACCTGTTCCTGGTGACCCTGCTTGAGCAGGAGAGTTGGACTGGATGATCTCAAGAGGGTCCCCTCCTACCTCAACTGTCCTGTATTTCTGCAATTGCTGGGGAAACTTGAGCTCAGTGTTACAAATTTGAAACAGTAGAAAATCATTGTGGGTTTTTTGTCATAAAATCTGTTGTTCAGTTTCAGTCATACTTCATTTCTCTCCTCTCTACCAGAAAGCTCAACAATTTCAAGCCAAAGGAGCAGTTTCCCAACTTCATTTTGGACCAGCTCTTATCAACCTCCCCCTCCACCATGCTTAAGTGGAGTACACCCCGATTTCCCCGTTACTGCACCAGGCACCTTCCCAACACCAGATCCCAGCAGCTGGCCAGGACACGGCCTTCATCAGACTGCCCCACCTCCTTCCCCTGCTGTGTCTGAATCCTGGCATTATCCTTTAGCATCTCAGGTGAGCCCTTCGTATGCACACATGCATGACATGTACATGCATCGCCATCACCCTCATCCGCACATGCACCATCATCATCCCAGCTCGCACCGTGACCCCCGGTATGGGTCCCTGCTGATGCCTTCAGTCCGCGCAGCCAGGATTCCTGCTCCTCAGTGTGACGTGACAAAGACGGATCCCGCTGCTGTCACTAGCGCTACCTCAGCATGGGCTGGAGCCTTTCACGGAACGGTGGACATTGTGCCAAGTTTTGGGTTTGACACAGGTAAGGTGGTTCGATTGTGTCTGTGACTTTTTTTAGCAGGAAGAATTTGAGCAAACAAGTGGACTCCCTGCAGCTGAAGCGGGGCTCGCTTTCAGAGTATTCTCCAAATATATTTCCAGGTGGGAGTCCCTTCTGAAGTTGCTGTCAGAGCAGATAAGCTGTGAAACATCCAGCTCTTATTGCCTTTTACTGAGAGACCTTTGTCTGCCTTGGTCCCATTCAAGCCAAATGAGTTGTGACATGATATGCCTTTTTCTGTTTAAATCTTGTGGGAAATGGTTAATTAAACTTTGATGTGGAAGCTTCCATCTTGTTCATCTAGTTCGTATGTGTGTTCACCAAAATATAGCTCCGATAGGGACTGAACTAATAACTTGTCAGTACTTGAGGACTGCATCTTATGCATTTAAATTTGAACAGATCAGCATTTCCTCCTATTTAGTATCCAGGTGTCACGTAGAGAGCAGTGATGCTGTTTGAGCTGTGCTCGCCATCAAACTGAACTTCTTTCTGTATGTTCTAGGCAGAGGTCTGTGAATTAGATTAATTTTACTGCAGGGTCTGTAGCCATAGGACAGCCTCCATAAACTATATATGCATCTGCAAGCTTTGACTGGCAGGTTCTCAGTGTTAGGAGCAGTCTAGCAGCCCTCGCTGTTCATAGCTGCTTGTGATCAGGTGATGGGTGACTAACAGTTTCCAGCACATCTATCCTGGAGCTCATGTGCACTGAGGTCTCCTTTTTCTGCTTGGTATTTATCTGACTAGCAGCAATCCTTGGAGATTAGTACTTCTTAAACACGTTATTTATTAAGGAAATACTAGGTTTGCATCTCTCTTCCTTTTTCCTTAAGATATCGGTTTGTCTGTCTTCTTGATAGCTCTAGCTAACTGATTCAATGTGTGAGACACACTTCCTCGCTTTGATCAGTGTGCAAGGGAACAAAGGATTGGTGGACAAAAAAAAAAAGCTGTTTCTTAAATATGAAATAATATGAACTCAAAACCCGATTATAACAGAGATAACCTAACACATGTCTTTCTCTTCCCTTACTAGCAACTGGGAACCAATAATCTCTTCTAAATCCCATACCACTTGCTACATCAAGAAATTAAGAAAAAGCATAATAGGATTCTTAACGCTGCACAATTTTATGTCTATTATTAATGTTTCCAGCCATGCCAATGATACAAGAGGAATTACATTTTATGCTTTGGGTATACAATGATAGTCTGACGAGACTGGAATCTCAAGTTTTGCCTTTCTGATAAATTCCATAATGGGAGTGAGCTGCCTTCTCCGAAGTGTAAGAAAATTGTCACTGCCACATGTGGAGGGGATGAGCCCCCTGGTCTGACAGTAGCCCCAGTGATCCAGCTCCAGAGCTCTGGTACGTAATTTACCTTTTAGGGATGGAGCTGAGAACTGCATAAGGGATTGTTACTCAGGAGAAACCACTACATGGCTTAGGTGTAGGTCTAGCCTAGGCTGTGAGTTGTATCAGTGCTGGGCAAGTTGGTTTGCTTGCTGGTACTTTGTTGGTAGTAGTACGTCTAACAAACTAGGTGCTTTTTCTCTTTTCTGTAAGAGCACAATACCTCAAAGATGACTATGGGTCCTAGCACCGCCTTACAGGAATAATAGCCTTTGCTTGATGCTGACTGCTCCTTGTGAAAATCCCTAGGAAGGGTACAGTTGGATGCTAATTTTGTCAGGATCCTGATTTGACAGTGCTTAACAGTGGCTTGCATGTCTTGTCGTTGTCTACTCAGCGTGTCAGGTGGCAGAAAACACATTCTGGCCCATGCCTGATGTGTGGGTTTTGTTCCATGAGTTCCTATGGGGGAAAAGAAAGATGGGAACTGGTGTGACTGGTTTGCAGGAACAGAGGATCTCAGCAGAACAGTGTCTCAACTCATTTGTGACTATTCAGAGTGGCCATGCATTGAAACACAACAGCAAAACCTTAGCAGGCAACCCCAATTTGGCACTTAAGGCTTTGGAAACAAGGGAGCAAGCAACAAAGCACAGCACGTCGTGGTAGCCTGTAATATTACAATTATTTTCTCTCTTACCCTGCACACATCTCTCCTGTGCTGTCCAAGCAGAGGCTTGCTGGGAAGGGCAGGAAGGTTCTAAGCTTCCTTTTCAGCCTTGCCTGCAGCTTGTAGATTTGAGACAAATGCTTTGGTGACAGGCATTCCAGGAGCAATCATGGTGAAAAGAGGAAGCTTAATTGTCTCAGCGTTTTGTGGGAATGTCAAATGGTGTCATCCACTGAAAGTGTGTTGTGCTGCCGGGGAGAGGAGGGGGTTGCTGAAGTACCCCACTGAGTCACATGGAGCACTCACCAGCACAGGTGAAGCTTTTCTTGCTCGTTTCCACTCCAGGGGAGGATTATACTGGATAAGTCTCCACATCACACAGAATTGTATTACATTTAACTCAAACGTGAGACAGCAATCTCAACAGAGAGGCTAAAAACTGAAGGGCCTGGAAGAATGTACTGGCTTTCTGCAGCATATGTGTGGTTTCTCCAGAATATGGTAAGGCCATCGTGGCAAGAAAACTTAAGTTCTGGAAGTTTTTGCTCATATGTCCTTGGAGAATAAAAGATTCCATGAGCTTCAGATGATTTATATAAAAAAGTCCATTTGGTATATACCTAGACATTGCTTTTCAGAGTCCTTCAGATAGGAAGATTATTCCTCCTCACTCCCTTACTGTGGGTCACATTTCTTGTGCTACTGTCACACGCGATTATAGAAACATTTGAAAAATTCCTCACGCTGGATTGTTTGGAATGATAGTGCAGGCTGGCTGTAACCTTACCCTCTTCCAGATACATTGTTGCATCTCTGCCATACTAAGCCAAATATTCAATCTCATGAATGGGTAATGCTGAATCACTTCAAAGGTTAAGAGGGGGTTCCCCTTGCATACACGGTATAGTTTGGGAGTTTATGTTTCAGGACATCAACATATCACCCTTCACAGAGCTAACAAAGTATTGATCTGTCTTGCACATCTGTTTGAACTTACATGGTCCTTTTTTAGAGGATGAAGAGGGATTTAGCTACCTGATTCCCATTAAATGTGGCTTAATCCTCACATTGTGTGCTGCAAATTAACCCTTTTAGAAGCTTCTTTATTGGTAAAAGTGGGAGTAATGAAAATCCTAGTCTACATCAAATTGCATTAAAACCTGCTATGTTTGTGGCTGCTGGTATGCAGTGTGGTAGTGAAGATGAAGCATCCAAGCTATAATGCTCAATATAAAAGTGTATTTTATATCAGCTATTGTTACAAGCACAACATGTTTGTGTGCTTTAGGTCAGAATTCCATGTCCTGCCAATGTCAAGCAAAGCAAGGTCAGCCTCTAACAGCACTGACTGTTGTTCATGGCATACATACAGAGAGCATTGCTGCAGCCGTAATCCCAGTGTTGGGGCTAAGTCCTCGTATTTACATAAAGGGTGCACAAGCTGAGCTGAGAACTTAAGACCAGGGGGATGTGGAGGGGAACTGCTGTCTTGCAGTAGAGCTGATGGTTATGGCCATCAGTGCTTTCCTCAGGAGTAAGAGGCTGCCCTGCACACTGGGCACTTCAGGTGATCGATTGGATTGAGCTGTGCTGGCAGCTGCCAGGTCTGCGGGCAGCCCTGTGAGGAGGACAGCAGAGAAATTTGTCCTGCTGCTGAAGAGTCTAGGAGGATATCCTGTCCTGCTGTTGGATAAACATGCTGAAGGAGGCTTCCTGTAGCCCCAGCACAGTAAAAGCAGAGCAGGATCTTGGTATATCTGAGGGTTGTATGTCTATCTTAAAATTGAGGTGCACATCTTTTATCATGCCAAGTTCTGGACTTTGAGGTGCATAACTTGAAATTTAGGTGAACTAATCAACATCCTCTAGTCCTGGCTAACTGTGGAAAGTCCACTTTTGGAAATGCCTGTGGGTTGGTGCGTCATGTCAAATGTGGAATTTGAGGGGTCAGTCTGATGCCTTCTGCAAAGTTGTCTCTGTTCACACACATCCCAGGAGTTTGTTACGACTCATTAAATTTGTTTAGATGTTCCCACAGAACCTACATTCTGCTTCCGTGGCAATCAGCTATAATGTTGGTGTCCCAGAGATGGGGAGTTGTGCTGGTGTGCCAATACTGACTCACGCAACGCAAGCTAAGAGGAAGATGTTCTTGCAGCAGGCTGCAAGTGAAAGCTTTCAGATAGTAGCAAGGTTGCACTTGGATGATGTTAGGACTGCAGATAGCCTTGCCATGAAGGAGATGGGAATATAACGATGAAAAGGCATGGAAAGTGTTCCACATTCAGTTCTGTAACTAAAGAAACTTCGGGTGTTTGGATTGTTTTCAGTGTCTGTTTAAACTTAATAGCTGTACCTTAAACTTCCTTGTTACAGTTACTTCTGTTTGCTGCAAAGACGCCTATCTAGGAAGGTGTCTGTTCGGCTGGTTATTCTCCTTCTGCCAGTTGCTACTATCAGGTGGACATCCTCTTAAAGATGTGTGTGTGTCATTTTTCTTAAGCTGCAAGGAGCCATGTAACCAGTTTCTCCTCTCATCAGCTTCCATTGCCTCTGGTGGCCTTCAGTGCTCCACTGGTGAACTTAAATGGCTTCCTCACACTTGGAAAGGTTTCTGCTGTATGACAATCTCATTTTTTTTTTTTTTTTGTCTTTGTTTAAAAAAAAATTGTAAACAGCAGAGGAAAAATAACACAAAATTGTCATCACTGACTTTGAGGGAGCTTTGAAGGAAGCTAACAGTAGTTATGATGACTCTGCCTGTGAATAATACTGCCAGGAAAACAAGGAGACATCCACATTGAGTAAAGAGCCTCTAAACGTGTTTTTATAGGCATCCTTTAGTTGAGGGATATTCCATTTTTTCCAATCTAAAGAAATAAGTGCTAGTGCTTGTGAGATAGTTCAGAAAGCCACTGAACAGGGTTTGGCATGCTCTACTTGTGTGCTCTGCTTTCCCTGTCTGTTCACTGCTCGACACACGAGTGTTTGGATGCTGCTTGGGGATGCTCACACAAAGCAATATCTCATATTTTATATGACTGTTAGTTGCTTTGTAGATCAACTCTGAAATGATGTTGGTCATCATCAGAGATTTAACTGTTTGTACTCCTAAACCAAGGAGATCAGATCTGAACTCATCATGCCTGTCAGGCTTTCTGAAAACATATGGGTCTTTATGTTTCACTATGTGAACAGATATGGAAATGAGAGATCCGTGCTTACTTAGCACATTAACATCACAGGTTAACATCACGTTAACATCACAGCTTAACAATCAAATGAACATGGAGCTTTGATGGTTGAAACGTCACAGAGTTCTGGAGTTGCACCTACTTACGTTACTGGTGAAACTGGCCCTAAATTCTTAGCAGATCAAGCAATCAATGCATCGGTCTTGGTACACTATGTAGCAGGGCAATATGTAGTATGACACAGCAGCATATTGCTGTCTATATAGTAATGATGATTTATAGTGGGAAGTGCACCTTCATTTGCTTGGCTCAAAATGTCAAAGGCCAGGTTTTAAATCAGTGAGTCCTAAGTGCCTTACTACCCGTTGAAATACGTGCTGACACCTCTCTCCTTTTGACTTTCCCCATAAAGGAGCAAGTATGTATCTTCTTTGGGAAGTTTCATCTGCACGTCCCTCTCTTGTCTGGATTTTAGGTATATGCCTGGTTGGGTTTAAATCTAGCAAAGATTTAATCCCTCTGGAGCAGAGAAATCCCAGGTTACAACACAGGTTCCAAGTGTATAAAGCTAAAGACACAACATAGCACTGCATTTATTAGATAGTCCTCACTCTTTGTAAAGGAAAATGTTAGAAGAACTCATAACAAATGCAAGCTGAAAAATCATTATTTTTTCCCATGTGGAAGCACTAGCCATTCTTGGCTAAAAATCTGACACTCTGTAGGTGAAATAATTTCAGCTTTTTTATTTGCTGCAGGAACATTTTCCCTCTCTCCTTGGTACAGTGAAATGCTATAGAAACTGTGAGATCCCAAAGTGTCACAGGACTTTTCTAAAAGAGGTAGGGTCTGTGGCTGGCCCCTATCAGTAAAAATTATTCTTTTGTATACTGGATTGTCTGTGCAGACCTTGCTGGAAGATTTTATCATGCCATGCCATGGTCCCAACAAGGCCAAAACACAAAAGCACACAGAGGATTTTATCAGCATTCCTGAACGTCTTGAGCCAGTCTAAAACTTAAGTGTAGTTTAAGCTTATCCCATGTAAACTATAAAATTGTGAGCAATAGCAATGTTACTAACAAGTCCACTAGGCTGGTAAGTTGTGGGGTTTTTTTTTTTTTTTTTTTGTTTTTTAATTTAATCAAAAACTGTATATACTTATTTCAGTTGCTTGGGGAGGAAAAAGCTGTATCAACTTTAAAATTTCTTTTTTTCTCTTCCGAAATGTAGGTCTACAGCATCAGGACAAGAACAAGGAAACTTCTTGGTTCTGAAGTTCAAAATTCAGATAAATTAAGACCAGCTAGACCTGGAGTCAGCGCAGCTGGGCGGGCGATATAACAGTCATTGACTCCTTCTGCATGGGGCAAAGGACACACATGAAGATGAAGAGCCAACCATTCTAGTTTTGCTATTGAGCCTTTTGTTTGTAAGGCCATTTATGGGTCCCACAGTGTTGGAAAAAAACCAAAAACCTAACTTTTCTTTCTTTCCTCATCTGAGCCTGCTGCAGCTGGGCAACCTAACTCCTTTCTGCTCCTTTAACAGTGTTTTATTTTGTTCAGCTTGATACTTTTATGAACAGTCTCAACTGTCAGGAAAAAGGCTCTCTCTTGACTACAGTGCGCCTCCTTTCAGGAATACAGTATTTTGTAGCTCTTTGTGCATCTATTTTTGTAGAAATACAGAAAGTTTGGGTAAGGATTGATGGGCTATTTTAGGATGACATATTTTTTTTTAAAAAAATTGTAAAATTGTTAAGTTCTGTTTAAAGAACTTTCTCTCAGAGAAGCACTGGCAAAAAATGTATAAAATGCTATTTTTAGATGTCTGTGATGTGTTTGTGCATTTCGGGTTTTTTTTGTTACCTCAAATGTCTATCTTTGCTTTCTTTTTAAAGAGCTAAACCTTCCTTGTTTCCACATTACTAGTTTTTGATGTTTTTGTCTTTTTGTTCTAGCTTAAGCAAGTATAATTCACACCTAAAGTTTCAGCCAAATATTTTTCCTGATGGAGTTAGGTTGTAGTAAGGATGTTTTTATTTTCTTGCTTCTAAAGGTGGCCTTGTGCTGTGCTGGTTGTCAGAAACTTGCAAATACCTTTAGCATGAAGTAAAGCCTGGGATTACAGGAACTGCATTTCCGACCCATCCATTCTTTCAAAATGGACCAAATACTCTTATGGGTTTAAATCAGGCATGAGTTGGAGCCTTATCCATGATGCATTGAATCTATTCAACACGGTCACCTATGGGTTATGTTTCAGGCCCTCGTAGTGCTCGTAAGTATCAGGATAATCTTACTTTAACTCATGAGGCAGGACTTTCAGCTAAGCCATTTCAAGGGTGGTAACTTAACAACGTCAATATTCAGTCAGTTTTATAAAAAAGTGTGACTCGTGGAAACAAAATGTTTTCAACTGGCCTGGTCTGTTTGTTGAGACCTCAAGGAAAGCACTGAAGTTTTCAGCTCCTGTAGACTTCAAAATCTGTTTATTTAACGTAAGATTTTCAGTGGGCCTTACAAAGACCCGGGCTCTTGAATTTCATACAAAGTTGCACGTGCTCAGTGTGTACAAATTCAGGCTTGGGTGCTGTCTGAGTAAGAATATGAACTTGGAAACAAGGTGGCCACGTCTAGCCACAGCACTCTGCAAGGTGTTTGGGAAAACCCATTTCTGTCCTGGGCCTTGGATCTGACTTGCATAATAATGACTAAGTTGTAGCCAAGGTGAGCACGATACAATCCTGAATAAGGGCTGCAAGATTACCTTTGACAGCTCCAGTCCTGTGATGGGCTGGAGCACATACTTAGGTGGGGCTGAGCGCAGGGTTGGGGCCTGGGTTGCTAGATCCTAGCTGTTGCTTGGAGATGATGTGTTTCTGCTCTGTGCACCCAGGGTCCCTCTCTAATGTTTCCCAAGGCTCTTATAACCTATCTTATTTCTGTTACCACTGTTTTCAGACATCCTTGTCTGAAAGACAAACAAGTTAAATGGAAACCAAGACACATGGCTGAGATAAGCAACAGTTTAATTTTAAGACAAGGACCATTGTAAATTTAAGTTTTTCAGGTGGAGACCACATGGATCTGTGTGTGAAAGGGGAGGGGGAGTGTTGGGATGTGCATGCCATTCTCAAATCCAGGCCTCCCTCCCTGCGCTGCTGCTTCTCTCCAGGCTTTTTGAACTTGATCCTGTGAGGTGTTGAGCGTTATCCCTTGCCACGTGAGAGGGCTTGACATGCTGGTACTGGAGGCATTAGGATTATGTCACAATTTGGCAAGACCCTTAAGTGTGTACCTTGCTGATTTGAAGTTTGAGACAGTGTGAAAGTGCTGAATGGACTATGTTTAAATATTACTTTAGAATAGTAGGGTTGTAGTTTCCATGTTGAGATGCTGAATAAAATGTGGTGGGGTTTTTTCCTCATCTTTATAGTCCATCAGCATTTCTATCTCTCAATAAATTTCCCTCTCATGACAGTTCTGTGTATTGTTGCTCTGGTGGAGCTAGCTCCTCAATTTGTCGATGAATTTGTAATACAATGGGAAAACTGTATGGGAGGGAACATAGTAATAGCTGACATAGTTCACTTTCTTAACAGGACAGTATAGTTCAGGAAATATCTCAAGAATGAGAGTTCTGACATAGGAATTCTGTCAGTGTTAGAAATACTGGGAGGAAAAAATCCAAGCTTGAAATTTTATTTTTTAAATTATTTTTTCTGGACTTGGCAAAGCTGGAAGGCAAAGAGGCAATGTATCCTCTTTGAACTTCAGGGCTGGAGAGTTTGGGTGGCCGGGGGAGCAAAAAAAAAGGCAACATTTCTTTTTGAGGTGCAGTGTGCTTGACTTCCTGAAATAAAGTGTAGCAAGAGCAGTCAGTTCATTGCCTTCCTCTTTGCAAGTTCAGATGATGAGAGACCTCCTCATGTTGCTTATAGATGTCGAAACATGGGACAAGAATGGAACGGGGAAAACAGACCCACAATTTGCACTGGAATCCTTTTCTGGATTGTTTTATTGAATTGATAGTGGTGATGAATATGTGGCAAAGCTATTGCCTCTTCCACCTCAAGGACTACTGTTATGTGCCCAGTTTCCACAAAAAAAGAACTTCTGTTGCTCTCCAGGCCCTGGGAGACAAGTGCCAATAAAAACCTGCTATTGTCTATAACCATTCGTGCACAGTCAATTGACTTTGAAAGTAAAATAAATTCATTTTTTTCTTCTCGGTCACTAACCATCTCCTGTACTAAAAAGCAGCTTGAAAGTAAAAGCACAAGTCTATAGCACTAGCCCTACTTCTATGTTACACAATTTGAAGGATGGGAAAGAAAAAATCCTTCCCTGGGACAAACTTTTAAATGCAGCAGATTTTCTTTTCTCTCTCTCTCATACACGCACACTTATACACACGCACAAATGTACTTATGAAAAGCAGATGCTGTGATGGTTTTGTTCTTGAAAGAGGAGGGGAGTGCTTGCTCGCAGCATTGCAGTTACAGGGAGTTGGTGGCAGTGAGAAAGAAACACAAATGTTAAGACTGCTTGTGTTTCTGCAGATAGGAAAAAAAGGCCCTCAAAATCAGGTCACAGACAAGTTATGTGTCTTAACACATTACTAAAGGAGTTGTTTCAGTCTTTTTGTGTGTGGCAAGTTCTGATGCTTTCCTAGGGAAGTGGATCGTTCATTTTGCTAGGGCTTATAAAACATAATGTACTCTATCACTACTTCTGGAGGAACATAGGGAAATTATTGTTTTATTTCAAGAAAATCTATGTACTAAACTCCTTAAAGTTGTCCAGGATTTGATTTTATTCCTATTAATGCTGAGAAATCTGCTGTCAATTTTTGTGTCTTCATTTGAAGACTGTGAAGGTTCAAGCTGTCTACCAGTTTCTGAAAAGCAGATGCCAGTTTGTTTGAACTGGGCATTTCCATCCCAGCAAGATGATGGAATACTGCAGCTGCTGACTGCCTAGCAGATTTGATTTCTGGAGAGCTGAATAAGCTACGCTTGGCAATAGGAGAATGCACTTTATTCTGATTCCTTTCCTCATGAGACACACAAATTCAGTTATCAGTTTGTCTGATACCACTTTCATAGTGTGAAGATCTTCAGTGAACGGCAGTTTTCTCTCAATCATCTACTTCTACCTCAAAACGTGCTTTTGAGGAAGAATCTTTCATCACAGCTTTCAGAGAGAACAGAGGTTGCGGGAAGGGGGTGTCACATTTACCCCCACGTGCCCTTAGGATCAACCTGCCTGTACCCAGCCTTTCTGCTTCCTGGCTATTGAGTATGTCTTGCTCTCCTCCTGCAATTCTTTGTGTGTGTGTGTATATTTATATACATACATATACACGCATGTGTAGCTATACCTGGTTCCTTCCATTCCACCCTCATGCTTCAAATGCACAACCTTTGGAAATGAAGTGAATCACATCGCTAAATCTCATCTGAGACTGAAAAAATGTAGGATTTATTGCATTCTCTGTAACCTCAGGAGTGAATGGAATTTTTCCAAACTTGTAAAAAACAAAAACAAACAACAGCAACAGAAACTCAACAACAACAAAAAAATCCCTTTCAAAACATCTGATTTGTTGTATCTGTAAAGATGACCATGGGGTCAGCAGAGTTACATAGAGAGGTGCAATATATTGCCTTTCAGCAGACAAGCATATCTTTTTGAATAGGATTATTTTAATTAATTTCAGGTACAAGCTTTTTCTCCTTATCAATGGACCAGCAACATATCTTTCTTATAAACAATTTAGAAATATATATTTTTAAAATTGACTTATTGGCTTTCATATGTCAGCCTTTGAGCTTTTAAAGGGTATTTGGATGATAAATATTGTTTGCTTGTGGATTTTTTAAAAAGTTGATGCATGTTGTTTGTAACTGAAATCTCATGTAAAGCAAGAAGGTATTTAAAAATAAATACTGCTTTTACATATTAGCCCTGTGGGCACAATCTGACAGGTGTGATGCAGGAGGATGTACCTTTAAAGGCTAAGGGACTCTTGCCTGACCAAGGTCAAAATCCCATCCCTGTAACAGAAGAGGCAGGAGCAGTCATCTTGCAAAGGTTGGGCTGGTAGAGCTGTGAGCAGAGATGATCCTCTCCAGCATTGTATGTAGATGGTGGGGCAGCCACTGCTCAACATATTAAAATTAGGTTGTGTTGGCAGGTTTATACTTGCCCCATCTCATGGGGTGAACTGGTTGCCAAGGGGAATTACAGATGTCCCTAAACCTATGTTTTAGGTGCCCTTGGTCTGCAGAGTGCCCATAAACCCTCTCCTTGTTCTTGTTCTGTGGTCTCCCCACAGTGGGACCTGTGAAAGCTGGGCTGGGATTCTCTGCAAAAGGCAATATGTTTTCAGCTCCCAATAAAGATGGTTTAAGGATGGGGGTAATTAAAACATCACAGTTATCTCATGCACCTGCTCAAAGGCTCAAGCCTTCAAGATAGATCAGCTGTGCATCATTAATTATGATCATTTGCATACAGGAGTCTGAATTCTGCTTCCTCCCCTTGGTGTCTTTGGAAATCTTTGATGGCATTGAGATCACTGGGACCAGCCTCTAATGCCTAAATTACAGTCCAGTGTTGGCTGGCACAGCGTGGTGGCCTGAGGTCTGGTCCAACATTGGTAGACATCAATTGGAATCAGCATTGGTTCCAATGAGCTTGGGCTCAGGTAACTAGTACCTATAGACAACTGATATTTATAGCAGTTGAGGTTTACAGTAATCTAGTAAAGCATCTGCAGAACTATGCTGCACTTTCCCTGCTAGCTGTTTGTAGCTGTTGTTTAA